GGAAGAGTCAGATGAGGAGCTGCTGCATGGGGCCAGTGCCAGCAGGAAGGTGCAGGGAGAAGGCACTAGGGCTCGTTCCAGGGGTGTGAGTGGGCCACGCTCCCTGATCCTTCCTCGGCTCTGAGAATGGGCACAGTGCCTCCCATTACAGGACTGGCAGTCCTGGGAGTGGGAAGGTTGCTGCAAATGCCTCCACCTCTTCCTTCAGTGCCTTTAGCTCTCCCCGGTATTTTTCCTCCTCCAGTTTCTCCTTGAATTCCTTCAACGTGGCCTTGGGGCTCATGTCCTTCTGCACACGCAGCGTCAGCTCGATGCCTGCAGGGGGGGAGATGTGTGCTTCAGCCCCATCAGCAGGCAGGTGCCGCTTCCAGCAGCTCTCAGCCCTGCCATGGCTGGCGGGGTTGGGGCTGCTCCCCAGGATGCTTGGGACAGGAGGTGCTGGGCTGCCGGGGACTTGCTGTCCTGTGCCACCACCACCTGCTTGAGGAAATGGGACCCTCACCTTTGTGGATGTACCGAGCCACCATGCGGAAATCATCCTGCCGAAAGCCACGGGAGGTGAGAGCTGGTGTCCCGAAACGCAGACCGCTGGGACGGAGGGCACTGACATCACCTGCACCAGAACAAGCAGCGTGTGACCTAATTCCAGCACTGCTGTGGTGGGGACTTGGCCTGGCCCCTAGTGGCTGGGAGTTCTGTGAGAAGCTCCGTGTGGCCCTGGGGAGCACAGGGCACGAGAGACATCCAAGCACGTGGGGCAGAACGTGGTGGAGCTCGTGGGATGCCTACCAGGGCATGTGTTCTTGTTGCAGGCGATGGAGCAGAGTTCCAGCACCCGCTCAGCCCGGCCACCGTCTGTACCTCTGCTGCGCAGGTCCAGGAGAATGAGGTGGTTGTCAGAGCCCCCTGCAGAGAGAGGAGTTGAGGTGAACACTTGAAATTTCAGCAAAAGAAAGAATTAAAAAAAAAAAAAAAAGAGGCTTGAGAGGGCAGTGTTAAGAAATAGTTTAGTTCCAGCAAAGCCCTGCCTGCCATGCCTGTGCACATGTTGCCCCAGTGGTTGGCTCAAACCTGGGATACCAAGCTGGTCCCAACCCAGGCAGCTGAGGCCATTCCTTACCTGTTACAATGTTGTAGCCCAGTTCCATCAGCGCTGCTGCCAGTGTCTTGCAGTTGGCCACTACCTGCTGCTGGTAAGCCTTGAACTCGGGAGTCATAGCCTGCTGCAGTGCCACAGCAATCCCTGGGGATGAGGCACAGCAGTGAGCTTTTGGGGACCAACAAAAATAATCTTGGAAGCCAAGAAAGCTCATGGACAATCCCTTCCCCTAACCGTGTAGGATAGGAACAGCTTGGTTTCTCCCCCAGCTGCATCAAGCTGGCTGCTCTTTACTGCTATACCTCTCAGCTGGAGCCCTCTGCACTGATACTGGGGCTCAAAGCTGAGCCAGGACATCTTTGTCCCCTGCTCACCATCCCAGCCCAGCGCAGACGCGTACCTGCGATGGCATGGTTGTGTGGCCCTCCCTGCAGCCCAGGGAAGACCGCTTGGTTGATGAGGCTCTCCAGGTTGTAGAGTGTTTCCTTTCCTGTCTTGGGGTCCGTGCTGCGGATGCCTGTGGGAGGAGAGAGCAGGGTAATACATAAGGCAGCTCGGGAAGGAAATCATGCTTGTTCTTCAGATCTGAGCCTTTGTGATGCCCCAGATCTTTCTGCCCTTCCTCTTTCCCAGCTGGAGCAGGAAGGAGCTTTAACCCGCAGCTCCCCTGGCCTGGGTGGAGAGTTTCTCCTGGCTCAGGTCAGGCACCTTTGCGATAGAAGATCATGCCGGCCCTGCAGCCCCTCAAGGTCTTGTGGGTGGTGGTGGAGACAACGTCGCAGTGTTCAAACGGTGAGGGCACGACGCCCGCGGCCACCAGCCCGCTGATGTGGGCCATGTCGGCCATCAGGTAGGCGCTGTTGGCGTCGGCAATCTGTCGCATGCGGGCATAGTCCAGGTTGCGTGAGTAACAACTGACACCTGCAAGGACAGAAGGGAATGGCCTCAAGCTGTGCCAGAGGAGGTTCAGTTTGGATATTAGGAACATTTTATTCTCCCAAAGACTGGTCAGGCACTGGCACTGCTGCCCACAGAGGTGGTGGATTTGACGATAGAGGTCTTTTCCAACCTTAATGATTGTGTGATCCTTTGAGTCCCTTCCACCCTGGGCTGTTCACTGATCCTATTCTATAATTCTGCAATTGCCCACTGGCTTCAGGATGGCACCCCGTGTGTAAGGGTTGCTCCTTACCTGCTATAATCAGCTTGGGGTGGAACAGACGGGCATTCTCCTCAAGTCGGTCGTAGTCAATGTAACCAGTCTTGGGATTCACCTGGGAGAGGAAGAGGAGCATTCAGCCACTTTGGCAGGGGTGCTGTCAAGAGGTTCTTCCACTTATGAAGGCCATAACCTGGCTCCCACTGGAGCAGCTTTCTATACCTTGTAGGGCATGGACTCGAAGAAGACAGAGGTGGCAGAGATCTTCTTCTTGTCCGTCATGAACCCGTGGGTTAGATGACCCCCATCGGGCAGGTCCAGCCCCATGATTCTGCCATGGGGCTCCACCAGGGCCGTGTACACCGCAAAGTTAGCAGGTGACCCTGTGGCAGGAACACACAAGGCAGTTCATGGGTGCTGGGGCATGCAGAGGCTGCCACAGCCTGTGCTGCCTGCCCTGGGGACACCATTACCTGAGTAGGGCTGGACGTTGACACCCCACTTCTGGGGATCGAGGCGGAATGCCTGCAGGGCTCGCTTCTGGCACAGCCTTTCCAGCTCATCTACAAACTCGGTCCCACCGTAGTACCTGCCAGTAAAGGATAGGGAAGGAGTTACACTGAGCTCGGTGTCTGCTGAGAACAAAACCTCAAGGCTAAAACTAATCTCTTCATTCAGAACTGCATGCCCAAGGTAGTGCCAGCTGTGAGACCAGGATGCTGCTGTTTGCAAGCAGCAGACATGACCCTGCTACAGCTACCTGGTGCACGGCAAGGACAGAAACTGAAAGGGTCAGATCCTGCCCTGCAGGAGCTCGGTTGCCAGCACCAGGACATGGCTTTCTTCCCAGAGATGAGGTATTGAGGTGAACGTGGCAGTGCAGATGGTCCCTGTCCCCTCTTTACAAGAGTTTGGGTGTCTCAGGCTCTCCCCAGCCCCATACCTCTGTCCAGGGTAGCCTTCAGAGTATTTATTGTTCAAGCAGGATCCCAGTGCCTCCAGGACTGCGCAGCTCGCAAAGTTCTCTGACGCAATCAACTCCAGCCCCAGCCTCTGCCGCTGCTTCTCCTTCTTGATGATGTTGTACACCTTGGGGAGGGAGAGAAAGCTTCACTTGTGCCAGCTCTTCACGGAGGCATTGGTGCTGCATGGCGTGGGATGCACCCTCAGAGGAGTTAGGATAATGGAGAGCAGCCACTGGAGAAGGGAGGTGAGGTCCCTTCTTGGTACAGCTGATCACGTGTCCTGCCACGTTCTGGGTTTCTCTGGTAGATACCACAAAGCCATCAGATAATTCAGCTCTTGCTTGGGCTATGCTGCCAGGCTGGGCCTGGTGCAGGCATCTGAGCTCCAGGCAGAGAGTTACGAGCAATGGCTGAGAAATGACAGCCATAGAATTTGCACATACCTGGAGGATGCCCTCTCTGTCTGTAACAAGGCACAGGGGCTGGCTGAGTCCCAGCAGCTTAACCTTGCACTGTGCCCCTGGTTTAAGGAGGTCGGTGTCCCTATAGCTCTCACCTCAGGGTCATTGCTCTCAAGTGGCTCCAGTAGCATCTTACTGTGGGAGGCCCAGAGCTCTGCGCTGGGGAGGCTCCCAGCACCCTCTGTCACGTTCGCCATCTGTCCACCGCCTCTGATGCCACCTGCAAAAGGCAAGGTGAGAGTGTTTATTACAGCAACGTGGCCACTTCCAGTATCCTCCTATTCTCCCCCAACCTTGATATCACACAACCAAGGTATGGCCTTCCCCTACCTGCCCTTGTCCTGGCACTTGGGGACATGGGAAGCCCATGAGCAAACATGATAAAATCCAGCAGTACCATTTCATTTCACTCAGGCTTTAGACATAAACTTGCTCTAAGCCCAAGGAGGCAGCAGCCCCGCAGCACTGAGCATTACAAAGCAGCGCACAAACTCCAGGGCAGCCATGGCAGCCCAGCTCCAGTCCTGGCTGTGCACAAAGTGTCTTTTTATCCATTAACCCCACAAGGTCACAGAGGGGCCGTGAGCTGGTTGTTAAGCAATCCACTCCCTTCAGCAGCGCGGCCCCCGCTGGGCTCGGAGGCCCGGCTGCCCCGGGGCTTTGCTGGCAGCGGGGAAACGCCGTCAGAGACGCGGGCTGAAATGAAGGCGCGTTGTGTGGGGCGCTGTGCGAATGCACGCTGCTGGCAAAGGGCTGCAGAGAGGACAAAGCTGCCAGGAGGAGCCCCTTTACCACCCTCCTGGTGGGACATGAGCGTGGGCACGGCCCTGGAGTTCCACCTGCTGCATCCCACGTGGCTCCGTCGCATCCCATATCCAGGATCCAGTACCCGCCCCGACACCCGTGCTGCAGCACCACCGCCCGCCCCGCTCCCACTTCGCACGGTCCCTGTCCGCCCGCCCGCCCCATCCCTGCCCGCCCCGCAGCCTCGCACCGCACCGATACGGATCCCGATCCCGGCCCGCTCAGCCGCCCCGCGGCAGCCCGCGCGCCTAGCATAGGCTGCCGGGTCACACCCCTGCAGCTCTCGACCAATCAGCGCCCGAACGAAGAACTTTGCGACAACTTTTCGTCCAATCCGCGGCGCGCTCCGCCCCCTCCCCGCTCCCCATGACCCGCGCTCAGGCGGGGCCGGTGGCGCTGCCGGCACGCGGGTTGACCTTGGCCGGGCCGGGGGCTGCGCCGGGCCCTGCGCACGCGGGAGCCGCCCACTTCCCCAGCACCGGGGCCGAGATCCCCCTGGCCTCCCTGCCAGCCCTGGAGGTGCTCCCCGCTGCCCCGCATCCCGCCGCCCCGGTGGCGGAGCTGCTGGCCGGGGTGATGCGCTGAACTCGGCGGGTCCGCTGTGCGCGGTGCTCGGCCACGGTGTGGGAGCACAGCCTGCGGAAGCAGAGCCTGCACTGCTCCCTGCGCGCAGAGCAGCCCTGCTGCACTGCGGGGTGGGCCGGTGCCCTGGAGGAGTGTTTCAGCCCCGGAAGGATGAGGCTTGCAGGCTGGAGTAGCGCTGTGCTGTGTGCTTCAAACACAAGCGGGCCCTTGGGTTTGGCCAACCTGACCCAAGAGACCACGGACAGAGCTTCAGGGGTTAAATGAGCGTGCTGTAAATTGAGGAACAGAGGTAGGGAATAAGCGGTCCCAGTAAATTCCTTGTGATCCCAAGCGATGGAAAAGCAGAGTGTGCACTGTGAGTCACAGCATGGGGAGCGGTGTCTCAAAGCAGTGGGGCTGCAGTGCGTGGGGCTGCGGGCACAGCGGGAGCAGTGCGGTGCTGCGGTGAGTGCCGCCGGGTCCTGGTGGTGAGGGTGCTGGGTGCGGAGCTGGGTGTGTGGGTGCAGGGGTGGCTGTTGCACCAAAACTCACCTTGGATACCGCTCTGCCTGAACTGTACACGTCCTTAGGTGCTTTCCTCCCAGGTAACAGTGATAGGATAGAAGGTAATGGCCTTAAGTTGCACTAGGGGAGGTTCAGGATGGATGCTAGGAACAATTTCTTCTCCCAGAGAGCGGTCAGGCACTGGCACTGCTGCCAGGGAGTGGTGGGGTCAGCATCCCTGGAGGTGCTCCAGAATGTGGAGATGTGGCACTGAGGGCTGTGGGCAGTGGGCACGGTGGGGTGGGTGGGGTTGGAGTTGATCTTGGGAGATCTTTTCTATCTTAATAATTCTATGATACTTTGATAGCTGCTGAAGGAACAATCTTTTAACTTCAGAATTCTAACAGTTTTTAGCCCTGCTAATTTGTCTTCCATCACCGAAGAGCTTGGCCACAGCTGTGCAAGTTGGGTTTTTGTAGTTCTGCTCTCAGCCCATGGCCGGCTGCTGTCACAGACTGCTTGTGGATGAGTTGTTCTGACACTGCCAATGCCAGCGGCAGAGCCTGGGCTGGTGTCTCGGGTCACAGGGTGACAGGGAGACAGGGCAGATGCCAACCCTCTGCCCGCAGCCTCCTGGGCCCTGTGGTGTGGAAAGAGCTGTAAGCAAAAAGATCTTTGATATCATTTATTTTCCGCCTCTCAGCGTTAGTGGGCTGGCTGTCAGTGTGGGTGACAATCTCTGTGGGCATCCAGGGCCTTGCCAAGAGATAAGTAATTCTTTTAGTCTTGGTCGGTCCCTGTCTGCAAAAGCTTGCAGCACTGGGACTCTGCGTTGTCCCCATGATGGCTGAGCCTCCGCTCAAACGTCTCCCCTTCCTGCTGGCATCACCCTTTCATGACAAGATCAGATCAACTCAAAACTTTCGGACTCTCTTCCTCCCTCTGTATCAGTTCACTTGCTCAAGCGGCTTAAATTCCTTGTGCCTCACAACTATTTATCTACCATTCTGAAACTTGAGATGTTCTATAGAGAAGTATGTTCGTTATTAAGTCATTTTAAGTGCATGTTTCATCTTTGTGTATCCATTCTGTGTATGGTTGCAGTCAAAGATTCTCCCCAAAGCTAAGGGAGCTGCAGGTAATAGCAGTGTGTGCTGTTATGGTTTCAGGACCCCAGCTTGCTGGCAATGGAGACCGTCTCTTCTTCTCCATCACCCTTCCCTGACAGCTCCCCCTCCATGCCCTCTGGGAATGCCACAGTCCACGACCACTACTCTGGCCTCCAGAAGAGCCTGCATGTCCTCTCTATGGTGGTGTACAGCATTGCCTGTGTGCTGGGGGTGACAGGGAACGGCCTCGTCATCTGGATTGCGGGCTTCAAGATGAAGAAGACAGTGAACTCAGTGTGGTTCCTCAACCTGGCCATCGCTGACTTCATCTTCACCTTTTTCCTGCCCCTCAGCATCATCTACACCGCTCTGGACTTCCACTGGCCCTTCGGGAAGCTGCTGTGCAAGCTGAACAGCACCATCGCCTTCCTCAACATGTTCGCCAGCGTCTTCCTCCTGATGGTCATCAGCGTGGACCGCTGCGTGGCCGTGGCCTTCCCCGTGTGGTCCCACAACCGCAGGAGCCCGGAGCTGGCGGCCAGGGTGGCGCTGGGGACGTGGGGGGTGGCTGTCCTGCTCAGCTCCCCGTACCTCATTTTTCGTGACACTGCGGTCAGTTCCCGTAACATCACCAGCTGCTACAACAACTTCGCGCTGTCTGATGACTACGCGGCCGAGGAGACACGGAGGCTGTGGAGGATGAGGCACAAAGCGATGATCGTAACGCGGTTCTTATGTGGGTTCCTCATCCCCTTCACAGTGATTCTCATCTGCTACAGCGTTGTTGCTGTCAAGCTGAAAAGAAGGCAACTAGCCAGCTCTGCAAAGCCGTACAGAATTATCATTGCCGTCACAGTCTCATTCTTCCTCTGTTATTTCCCCTATCACGTCTTCTCCTTGCTAGAAATATCTCAAAACTCTTCCAGTCACGAGATGAAAATGGCCCTTTACATAGGAATCCCCTTGGTTTCCAGCCTCGCTTTCTTCAACAGCTGTATAAACCCCATCCTTTACGTCTTTGTGGGGCCAGATTTCAAGGAGAAGTTTTGCCAGTCCATCTTGTCGACCTTTGAAGGGGCCTTCAGTGAGGAGTCAATGCTGGGCAGCCTGAGCAGCAGGAGGAAGTCCAGGTCTGCCTCGGAAGCAGAAGTCCCAAGGCTCTGACTGGGCATGGTTCATCATGGGCACACTGCAGGGCAGTTTGCTCTCTCTCTTCTTCTCTCTTTGTCTCTCTTCTTTTTTTTCCTGCTGATTTGTCACAACACCCCATTTTTAGCAGGCGGCCCTTTGTAAACGTCACTGAGTCTGTGACTTTGCTGACAGGACCCCCTTTATTGTCCCTTCTCTCCAGTGTTCTTCAGCCATGAGAAGCAGCCTCTGAGCTCAGTGGGTCACCTTGTAGGCACCCGAGTCTGCATCACCACTGGGTTCACCCCCAGGGCATTCCCAAATGGCAAGTTAGCTGCTGGCAGGATGTGTTCTCTGCACTTGCCAGGCTTTCCTGGCAGCCAGTCTTTGCTGGGATGCAAAATTCTGGGGTTCCACCAGAGGGCAAAATTGGATGCAGGTATGCTGGCAGCAGGCGCAGCCGGCACTTCAGCTGGCCAAGAGGACGGAGGGAAGAGCTGCTTCATAAATTCCTTATAACTGAATCAGTAAAGAAAATACATCTTTTCCCGTGCATCATACCAATCTGGCACATGGGCTGCTGATTTTTAAGTAGAAGATGATTAAATTAAAAAAAAAAAAAAAAAAAAAGCAGGATGAACATGCAGTGGGATCTGTCTGGAGGCACTTCAGCAAATGCAGCTTTTAAAGAAATAGGATTATGAGGTGGTTAGGTGTATTTCTGTAGGGTCTGGGCTAGCTTTGTCCTTTCCCCCCCGAGACAAGTTGTCGGTTGTGTCCCACTTACCCACTTACTTTGGTGTTCAGCATAACTGTTCCTAAGCAATGCTACTCCACGTTTGTGTTTGACCTGCTTCTGGCCCTTGTATAGCTGAAAAGTCTCATTTTGTACTGTTGGTGAATGCATATTAAACTCCATTAAACTTATTTAAAACATACCCAGCCTATTGTGCTGCCTGTGTGATCCATTCAAAACGTGCATGCTCATGTTTGCTGACAAAGCAACTAGATAAGAAGGTTCAATACCCATGATTTGGAAATTGCTCCCAGTAACTCTCCCCTGTCTGACATAGGCAGCACTCGGCCTGTGTGAGGAGGTTTGTCTGAAATCCAGCAAGGCAGAGAAGGAAGAGCAAATCTGGAATTGGTTTTTTGCCCGCATTTCACTTTTGCAAAGTGCTTGGGATGAAGATGGTGGTGTTATTCCCCTGGGTTTGATCGGCCTCTGAACAGCTTCAATGACTATGGCATACAATGTCGGGCAGGTAGAAGGGAAGGTTCCCATCCCAACATGAGGCAGCTGTGTGAGCAGGTGATGGCATCACACCTCCTTCCCCTGCCTGTTACATGGCACAAACTGCCACTGTCCCATTTATGCTGCTAGGAAGCAGCCTCTGAGTGGCTCTCGAAACCTCATTGCTTCAATGGCTGGAAAATCTGTCTGAATGCCAGCCTGAATGTATGAACGTGCACGTCTCATTTTGTGTGGATGACAGCACCAAGTGAGCTCTGTCACCTGAACATGTTAGGGATTAATTACGGGTCTGTTGGGTCACACAATATTAAATGAAGGTTGAGCTCCTACAGGCATGCATGCACTTAACCTTAAATTCATGCGTAATCCCACTGAGATCAGGGAATGTAGCAAGACCATCCATATGTCAAGCATGAGTGAACAGAAAGATTTACCTTTACCACAAATTGCTGCCTGTCATCCAGATAAAGCTGCAATGTTTGCTATGCAGTGCAATGCTGGGGCTGTTTACTTGCTCCTGGTGGCAAATGACAGCATTGATTGCAGTGTCAAGGTTGTGCAGACCAGTGTTTGCTCTTTCTGGTTTTCTTCATCTGTTTGCAGAGCCCACATAATTCCTTGTGACAAGCATCTCTGAGATTGCTGGACCAAGGCCTTGGCCTCCCATTGTGCCTCTCTCATCGTCCCAGAACACTTGAACTTGGAGCATCACAGTTTGGGATAAGAAAGGATGCAATTTTGTGGGGCATTTGGGCATACCAGATGGGCACAGGGTTCTGATGTCAGTGAAGCAGAGAGTCTGGATGGTATAAGGAACTGCTGCTCAAATACAGGGAGAGCAACTTGCAGAGCACCACCTTCTCCCTGGCATCCCAGCCAAGCACAGCGTGCCATTAGCACAGCAGCTTTAGCAAATCCCATTGACTCCCGCAACTAAATTGTCTTAATACCCCTCCCAGAAGTTGCCTCCTCTTTAAGTGGCACATTATTATGGTTAAGCAAAACAGTGTGCCTTCACAAAGCTCTCTCCTTGCATGACGGGAAAGGGACTTAGAGAGTTTCAAACAGCTGTTGCTGAGAACACCTGTCAAAATACTGCTGGGGAACAAATGGGAATGTTTCATCGGCACTAACCAACAGCTCATGGCCATTGCTGTGTTGCAGGATGGTCACAGAAATCGTTCTGTCATCCTGGGTCTGATCCCAAGCCTTTGTATAAAGCCGACACCGTGTGCGGTTAGGCTGCCCAGGGACTGGTTCCAAGATAAATCTCTCATACTGAATTCGCTTGTGTTCAGGCTATTCCATTATTACAACAATAATTACGGTAGTCCCTCATTGCTAACTAGAAGGCAGGCTATTCATTCTCTCTGATATTCATTTTTGCCATGTGTGTAAATAAAAAAAAACTTGAATAAAGAAAAAAATCCAAAGACAAGCAAACAATCCTAAGGGGTCAAGCAGCATTTTTGGCACCTGTGCCCCCCTCTGACGCAGCTTTGCTCTCAAGGCTCTTTCAGATGTGATCAGTTGGGTGGTGCTGGGCTTCAGGAACAGCCTGAACCCCTGGTATTTGCAGTTGTTGAGAAAGGCACAGGTCGGCTGTCCTGCTGGCCTTGGCCTGATTGGCCCTGCGGAGGGCGGCTCTGTGGGCAGGCTGACAGCTCCATTCCTACAAATAGGATTGGGATGGACAGAGCTGCTTAGGGCGTGCTGGGCTCAGTTGTGCGTGGAGGAAGCTGAGAACGAGCAAGTTTTGGTAGCTGGGGTGTTTGGTATGAAGTAGCAGGGCAGTGTGAGAATTTGGGTGAGGTCATTAATGCTTTGGAGGTGGGTGAGGTGAATGTGGTATCACCAAAACATCTCAGAGTGACAGAGCTCAGAAAGGCTTGGCAGGCGATTCGGGCTAGAGGCTTTGTCATGGCAGAAAGCCCACAGCCTGTGCCTTCTGAGCGCGCCCTGCACTGTTCAGAGCTGTCCTCAAAGGGAGAAAGGGAAGGAGATACCGTGCTACCTGGTGCCGGTGGGGGGCTAGTTCAGGTGAGTGAAAATGGAATGGGCAAAATCCCAAAACAACATGACTGTGACCATCCTGACTGAATCCCAGGCTAAGTGGTACCAGGTCAGTGGTCCATTTCTGGTTGGATGGTGTGGTGTTTTCTTTAGCACAAGAAAAAGTAAGCGTGGTATTTTCATTATGCTGGGGCACCACCATAGTACAGCTGGATTTTGTGACACAGCAGCTTCTGTAAGGAAGACAGGATCTTAGAAAAGGATTTAACAAAGATCTCAGGCAGTTAAAGCCTGGGGGACTTGCAGCGTGTAGTCCTTGATAGCAGTGGATTATTGCTATGCCTGGCAGTTCTATGTTTTTCTAGCAAGCATTTTAAGCCAGGATTTCAACTAGAGCTGCGGCTGCTTTGCTTTGGAGGAGAGAGTATAGCAGGTTACTCTGGAGGTGGGAGAAACTGCAGAGCTATCAGGGACAAACCAACCGAGCAGCATTAAAGAAGAGATTGTACTCTATCCTTGGAACCTGGAGGAGAGCATGCAAATAAAAAACTGGGCTCAGAACAGTTAAGAGGAAAGAGGGAGGGAAGAACAGGAGGAAGTACCAGCAGCGGAAGGTGGCTGCAGATGGATGGAGAGTGATTCAGCAGGGAAGGAAGTTCTCAGTAGATGCTCCTAAATGAAACAATAAAAGCCTGTGAGAAGTCTACTAGTTCTTTTGCATTTCTTCCGGTGAAATCTCCCTGGTGAGTAAAACTTTTAAAGTGTCTCACTCCTGAACCTGGGGAAGGGGCTTGTTAGATAAGGTCAAGCTAAAGGCAGTGTATGGAGGTCCATCATTTCTTGGAATTGCAGCTGGGTAAGGATCCCAACCTGCACAGGTGTTTGTGTGTTACTGCTGTTCTGGGCTCAGCCCTGTTCTGCACCAAGCTGGGGGGAGATCAGGGTGCACCTGCAGGTTGCTCTCTGTTCCTCCCTGCACTTCTCCTAGTTTCTGCCTAGCTGCTCTGGGCAGAGATGGAAGTCGGCAGTCTCTTTACCTTCCCCTTCCTTCCCTCACCCTCCCTCCCCCATATTTGTGTATGTGAAGCACAGGATCTTCTTCCTACTGAGCTCTGCTTTCATTAGCAAGCCGCTGTGCAGTGACCCATGCCTAGTTCAAACCTTTCCTGAATATTCACGAAGAGCCTGCCCAGATCATGATGCGTGCTCGCTTCCTCTGTGTAGAGGAGCCGTAGCCTTGTGCAGTAATGCAGTAAATGCCAAGACAAACTAGGAGCTAGTGATAGGACAGTGAAATAGAGCGTTTAGCACTGTGTGGCTGTTCAACTTCCCTACAATGACGCCACTTCATTGTTCAGTGGCTTTTGTTTAAGGGAGAACTGAAGGGCAAACCACTTCTGTAAATAGAGAGTTATGACTGTGACACAAACTTTACAGGACACTGCTGCATGCAATTGCAGCAAGCAAAGACAATATGCAAACAAAGCAGAAGACACTACTGCTGGTTCTTGTTCCAGGACAGCGTTCGCTCAAATCCTCTCCCTTTCATCCAGCTTGAGACATTTTTCTGTGCAGTGACCTGTTAAACACTGGCTATTCCAACAAGTCTGTTGTTTCTTTGTTTGAAGGCTGATAGGAGATACTCCATGCCTGTGCTGAAGGCTGATGTGGCAGATCTGTTAATCATTTCAGACTGACCTGGAACACGCAGTACTATTAGGAAAGGGAAACAAACTAACCTCTGTTTTTTTTTTATATACCTCTTTTCCCCAAATAGATATACTTACGATTTAGGAGGGACTTTACAATAATAGAATGAGTTGGTGCCTGTTTCCTGCAGACAGTCAAGCCATAGTTAAGCATTAATATTTGATTAAACAAAAAGAGAGTGCTGTCTATTTAGCCCTTCACGTAGATAAGATGCCTGCTCTGCTCTGGGGCCTTTCTTAAGGCACTTTAGTTCCCAGAAGTGGGGAATGCTATTTTCCAGATCACTCCCATGCGCTGGGGAGATTCAGAAATCTATAGCTACTTTGAGCTCTGCCTTGCTAGCTGGCCAGTATCCAGGTTGGTGTCTTCTAGAAACCAGATACGGTCACTCCTGAGGTAGGGACTGCAGGTGGCAGCCTTGAGGCTGTGCTGAGCGTGGAGGTGCTCAGTGTGAAGGTTCCTACATGCTGCAGGTGTCCCAGCAGGCTCTGGAAGGATATGTGGGGCAGAAGATTTCTTCAAGGTGCCTTGTAAGACTACTGGGAGAGACAAAACACACTCACAGGGCAGTGTCAGGATGAAAGCAAAACATTTCTTTGGTGTGCCAAGCTCAACAACTCTTGCCAACAAGTAGATTGGCAGGAGATTTTTAACGTCCACCTTAATTTAAAAACAAACAAACAAACAAAAAAAAAAACAAAGCAACAACAAACAATATGAAACAGCAACCTGGCAGAGCAGTGATGGATGGAGCTTAGGAGACAGGATGACACAAGCATTTGTTGTCTCTCAGGTGATGGATGCAGGCTGTCGTCCGGCCAAGCGCTGGATGAGCAGCGCCCTTCACCTTGGCTGGACTAACTGTGGGCTTCTTAAATTCGTACTTTATGGCACACTTCTTCCTGACAGAATTGTATCTGGATTAAGAACAACAGATTTCCCTGAGCTGCTCCAGTCACACGTAACAGTTTTCCAGAATTCCTTAGATGACTGCTAATTGGATCATTGTAAATGAAATTAAAAACCAGGTGCTCGTTTTGGGAAAGCAATCTGTTAAACTCTCAGTACTTGAAGAACATATTGTAATATTAACAAATCCCTCTCCGTTGGGACTGGAGGCTTCCATTTGTAATCCTCTGACCAGGAAAACAGAGGCAGGAAAGAAACTGATTTTCTTTGAGGAAACGCAGACAGTTGCCCAAGAAAAAGGATCAGAAGACATAATTTTTTTTAGTTCCTGGTCCTGTGGTTTGCTTGTGTAAATGTCAGGAATTTGGGGAAGGACAAATCGAGTAGTCAGCAAATTCTGTGTGCCCTGAGGGTATTGAAAAATGCCTCTGAGGAAGGCTGCTGATTGCACTGTGGGTCAGCGCTTCAACATGTGTTGTTTCTGGCTGCTCTGCCATCAGCCTGCAGTGAAACCCTGTGATGAGGACTGACGCTAAGAAGTCTCTGCTGCTCTATGAAGAGGCTGACAAAAGGCCCAAAGCCGCCTTCCCTGCAAAACAAAAAGGAATCTGCAAAGGTCAAGGAACCTGAATCAACAGCGGGAGCAGCAGCCTGTAAGCAGAGGAACGCAGACTGGAAATGGTGGGGGTGGTGAGGAGGCACGGGGCCCATTTTATGACACTTTCCAACCTGAGATCCTGCAGACACGCATGGAATCGCTGCAGCGCTGCCTCTCTGAGGACACAAACAGGTCTCATGCATTTCAGACGGATGTCTGTGCTCTGTGAGGAGTGCTGCGTGCCGAGTGCTCAGCATCTGGCAGCTGCTGCAGGTTCAACTGCTGTCCTGCCCTGCTCTGACTGCTGGCAGTGGAGACAACTGTTGAAGCGCATATTGTGAGCTGCAGGCAAGCTTGTGAACGCTTAAAGCAAAAAATGCAGCTCACGGTGGCAGTTTCATTGTAAGAAGTTTCAAAGTACAAAATCTGAAGTTGTCTCTGTGCATTGGGTGAGCAGCACGAGCAGCTTTTCTGTGTCTTTCATGGCACACAGGTCTCTGCTCGGTGCTACAGGCCTTGTTCCAATGCACGCTGTATGTTGCAGCCCAGGAATAATTATTTTGTGAGAAGGTGCAGTCAAAAGCACCTGATCTGTACCTGTACTCCAAAGGATAGAACTCTGACCCACGTACCACAACATGACTGTCTGCTTTACCCTCCTGAATTTGGGCAGGATAACAAAACCTAGCACTGTGCAGCGTACTTCACAGTACAGTCGGATACAGCCATACAGCTCGGATTTTGTGAGGAGGCTTCCACAACCCTGACGGATACCACTGCCCACCCCTGTGACATCCGAGCGGGGAAAACGTGAAACGACACGTTAACGGCACGCTCCCCAAATCGGCCCCCCTCGGCCGTGCCTCAGTATCCCCCCTCCCCCCCCCACAGCAGGGGGGCAAAATGGCGCCGACGGAGACGCCCCTCAGAGCGGCGCGAGGCCTCGGCGGGAAGGGCTGTGGGGGGGGGGGGGGGGCAGGGCGTGGCCTCTCTCCCGCCCCTCGCGCACCCTCCGCCCGCCCCCCCCCTCGCGGCGCCGCCATCTTGCGAGCGGATAACCGCTGGAGGGGCTGAGCTTCGCGCTGCCTCTGCCTCCCCACCATCCCTCCGGGCCGGGTCGCCTTCTCCCGGGACCGGAGGGCAGGAGCCGGTAGGTAAGGCTTTCAGCAAGGGACGCTCCGTGTTCCCCTTCCACACCCTGCCCCGCACAGCGCCCCGCCGCCCGAGAAACAGGTTTCCCCTCAGCGGCCGTGTGGGAGGGAGCCGCTTTCCGGGGGGTTCGTTGGCGGCCCCGCAGGTGAAGGCAGGAGCGGGGGTGTGGTTGGTGGCGCGACGGGGGCTGAGGGGCGCTCGGGCCGCTCCCCCGAGGGAATGCGGAGCGGTAGGGAGTGTGGGTGCGGGGCTCGGCCCTCTGAGCGAGCCGGGAGGATCGATCGCCGCCCAGGTCTTTCTGGGGCTGTGGAGAACCGCATCCCCTCGTGGGAAGGGCCCAGGCTGCCCCCAGCCCGTGGCGATCGCGTTTGGAAACGGTGATTCCAGACAGCTGTTAATGCCTCTGTTGCTTTCCGTATTGCACGCGCTGAGTTGGTGGAGGTGTAAAAGGGAAAGCGATGGGATCGTGTGCAGCCCGTCCAGGAATCGTTGTATTCATCAGGTAATGCGGGTGTAGCTGCGTCCTGCCCAGAAGGATGGGTAGGAGCTGGTGGAGCAGCCTGCACCGTGAAATGTGTGTTTTCTTACAACCTGGCCTGGGAGATGCATCTACCTGCAGCCAGGGAGGGCTGTGGTCCCATGGGCACCTGTGGAGTCACATCTATGCACATCTAATACATAAAGTTGTCAGTTTGCTGTCGTCCCAGCATCCTTTTCTTGTTTGATGCATCAGTGTTGCTTCACAAAACTGACTTCTCCCTACACCACGCAGTTGTTGCTGCTGCAGTACATCCACATGTCCTTGACCTGTGTTTATGTGAAAATCTTCCTTGTTGGTAGTGATTGGCAGTACCTTGTTGTGGATTAAGGTGCATGCTGAGCAATAAATGTGAAACAGCTCTCATCTTTCACCTGATTCTTAATTACTCTTGGTTTTCCTAATCAGTGCAGGAAGGAAGGTAACATAACTGGAGATAAAAGTTGTCTTCAAACTGTCATGTAGAGGTTTGCAGTAACAATTGAAGATTGACTCAACGCTGTTCCTGTTATGCCAGAGAAAGATGCTTTCAGCTGATGTTCTGAGGCCTAAAAGCATTTCTGGTATACTCTCACTTTGTTGGACCAAACAGGACCAGGACCCACAGGGCTCTCGTGAGCTCAGACCGATACCTGAGTGGCGTTGTGATGTTGAGAGTCAGTGTTGCTTAGCTCTAGAAAGGGAGCTGTGGAAAAGAGAATCTGTGCTGCTAAATTATAGCCTAAGGAGAGCATTTAAAACCCTAACAAATAAAAAACCCATCTATTAGGAAGTTGTCTAGGGGAGATCTTCTGGAGACTTCCAGTGAAACATTTTGCTGGCAGGTTATGTGAAGCTTGGGGGTAGGAGAAAACAGGACAAGTGGAAGGCCCGTTCTTTCTGCCACATCTCTAGGTATGCTGAGCTAGCCTGTGGATCACAAACCACTGCAGTGGTTGTAAATACTAAGAATGTTGGAGAACGGAGCCTTACAAAAAACTCATTGTCTAAAAAGAGAAAATTTGTTCTTTTTGTATTTTTAACATGTGGATTTACCAGGCCTTTGATCTCTTCCAGTCTTTTAGGAGTGGGAAGACAACTTAGGTTTGATGTTTTGTGTGCCATCAACTGAAACTGGGGCCATCATGAATATAACGAAAGGTGGACTGGTGCTGTTTTCAGCTAATTCCAATTCTTCATGCATGGAACTATCAAAGAGAATTGCTGAGTAAGTAATATCTGCCTGCAGGGCAGCGTGGGACCTCTGTCTTTATGATGGGACTTGTTTTAGTAAAGGCTGGTTTTCTCTTTTGTTATGTGATTATTCCTGAGATTTTTGTACCAAAGCTGAATGTAGAAGGGAGTTGTGCATGAGAAGGATTTGGGCATGTGTACCTGTCATATCCTGCTTTCTGCTTGTGGTCTGTGCTGATACTGAAATGGAATAAACTCAGCAGGCTTTAATCTTTCTTTATTCATTGAATAGAGCTCACTAGTATTTTTCCATACCCTTTAGATTGATGTTTTTCTTTGGAAAAGAGTGCTTTAGAAGTGGTCTTTGAGTGTTGTGAATGTTTATGTTGTCAACTGTGTAGATTTAGAGACAGTGCAGCGTGTGTGTAATGCGTGCAGATATATAAGAATGAGAACTTGTTACAGAATTTAAGAAGCAGTATTTTTATTCCACTGCTTGTTCTGAGCTTGACTTGAAAACGAGTTTAGCTTAACCTGCAGTGTGGCTGCATCAAGAGATTTCCACTGCAGTTGCTGATTTTAGGACTTGTGGTTTTCTTTTCCTGTTTTTCTCCTCAAATGCAGCCTTTTCAGTAGCTATGGCACTGTGGGCTCTTCATTTGTTTTACCTTTCGTTTTCTCATATTCTGGTTTGTTTTCTCTTCCTGCAGGCGATTAGGAGTTGAGATGGGGAAGGTTCAGGTTTATCAAGAGCCAAACAGAGGTGAGCATTTAATTGGCAAAACTGGAATCTTACCTGTCTACAGCGTGCAGATTTTGGCTACCCTCTTCTTGTTTCTGTTGCATTTTGCTCCAGCAAGTCTTACATAGTTCTCTTCTTGGCAGAAACAAGAGTACAGATTCAGGAGTCTGTGAGAGGAAAGGATGTGTTTATCATCCAGACAGTTTCAAAGTGAGTACCTGTTTAAAGGCACTTCTGTATTTTGATGTAGGCTGTCCATAAGAATGCTTTTGTTTTAACTTCTCATTGCATCATATGTGTGTGATACAGTATGATGAGGTTAGATTGTATATTTTTAATACATGCACAAAGAAGACTTCATTATAGGCTGACATCAATTAATTTCGCTTTCAGTGAAAATATCATTGAAACTTTCCCCGTGGCCTCTCTGAGTTCTTCTGCTAAGTGCATTCTTCTGCTCACCATGTTCTCTGAATTCCTTCCTTTTCAGTGCTGTGGCTCCAGCGCCGTTACAGGCTTCTCCAAGTAGCAGAAACGTTTCCTGGGCAGTGTGTTTGGTGATTCAGAAAACCATTTTGTTGTTTTGAAAAGAACTTTACACATGTGAAGACTTTTTAAAAAAAAATTTCTAGTGGCTACAGGAGTAGGAGGTGTCTGAGTTGCTGACTGGTTCCCATCTGCAGGGAGACCCTCTCTATCTTCTCACTTAGAGCAGAAAACAGACGGTGCTTACAGTATATTTAGCCTGTTGTTGGCTTGAACAAAAGGGAAATGTATTGCAAGCCATCTTTTAAAATTTAAGCTGTGTGTATTGAAAAATATATCTGTTTTGTACACAATAGCAATAAATGTTAGGGATAGATTCATTGAATCATTAAGGTTGGAGAAGACCTCTAAAATGATTTAGTTCAACCATGAGAAAAAACAGAGTTGTGGTGTAGTTGTTACAACACTGTTCTGTATTCCTAAAAGCCTGAAGGGTGCTATAGCAAAAACTGCTGAGTTGCCCCAAAAAGTGAAAAACAAATCCAGTGAAGAATTACAGTGGTAGGTACAGGGTGCTTGCATCCTTAGGTGCACAACTGGGTTCTTTCTGAAGAATCTCTGACAGCACTCTTACTACAGTGGAGTGAAATCTCTGTGTGCAGGTGTTACCTTTAATTCTGCTGCAGGATTTTTATTCCTGGATACAAAACCAGATGCTTCTCATTGCAGGGATGTGAATACTACGATCATGGAACTCCTGATCATGGTGTATGCCTGTAAAACATCCTGTGCCAAAAGCATTATTGGAGTGATTCCTTACTTCCCCTACAGCAAACAGTGCAAGATGAGAAAAAGGGGCTCCATTGTTTCTAAATTACTGGCTTCAATGATGTGCAAAGCTGGTAAGGATGGAGATTGTTATGAAATAATCGGGGCAATGGGGGATCCTATGCTCAGCATTCAGATTGAAAGAGGTCAGTGTGCAAGCTGAGACTTTTATTAAAAGTAATGTCAGGTTTTGTAAGTTTAAAATCACATAGAAGAGCATAATGAGAGAGAGCTGCAAATGAGGAGTTAAGGGAAAAAAGTGCAGCACCCACCTCACACTGCATCCTGCTGTGCAGGTGAGATGGGTCTGCCACTTCAGGTCATGCTGTCTCCCTCACAGTGCTGTTCTTTGCCTTCCTCAATCTCGAACAGTTGTGCTTTCTCATTTCTAGCCTGTCTCTTTTACCTAGTGGAGAACGTGCTTTGTCTCCTCTTTACATTTGAGTTGACGTGGGAGAACGTGATTATTCGTTGTCAGTCCTCAATAGAGTTTCTTTTCTGCTGCTTTCCTCTACTGTCCCTGGGAAGGACGTGCAGTAGCAGTGAACGCTGGGATCTGGTTCTTATTTTGAAAGAAGAAACGTAGCAATGAGTGGAATTTGGATCCATTTCTCAGGAGCTCAGAACTCAGATGTCTGCTGTGCCAGGCTCATGCTGTGTGCCATAGATCCATTCTGTATCCATCTGCTTTGTGGTTGCATGTTGTCACGTGTCAAACGGAGAAGGATCACAGCTGCCTCAGTGTGGCACTGCTGATCCACTGCTGGAGGTTGCTCTGAGGCGTCTGAGGCATGGCAACCCCTGTGTGTGAAAGGGACACAGCTGTCTGCTGTGTGCTTCTAGCACCAGAGCAGCTCACAGAGCTTGTTTTGAAAAAAACCTGTTAAATTGAATAGAAAAGTAATGTTCTTCATCTGCTTGTCCATATGTCTATTTTATTTTGTTTCTGAAGGACTAACTCATCTTATTACCATGGATTTACATCAGAAGGAAATACAGGGCTTCTTCAATATTCCAGTTGATAACTTGAGAGCATCTCCATTTTTACTGCAGTACATCCAAGAAGAGGTGAGGAAGCCATTCTATTGCAGCCTTTTGTTTCTTTAATTTTTTTTGTCACGTCTTGAGACTCTTGAAGCAAATTCCTGTGAAAAGATTAATTCTTCAAACAGATTTTGAAAGGAGGAAGGGTCATTTTGGGGCAGGAATCGTGAAGTTGGTTCTTCTCCCGTCAGAGGACCGAGATTTCATTTCATGAAGAACTGGCATTTTATTATCCATGTAAGGCTGCTGTTCCATCTCTCACACATGTTCATATTTTTAAACAAGAGCATTTCCCTATTCTGGTTGTCCTTTTCCTCTCCTGTTTGCCATTTACAGGATGGAATGCTTGTTAGGTGTAACTCATGTAGCATTGTGAAAGTACTGTGTAGGTTACCATGTAAATGATGGAAGTCTGTGCATCGTGATCTGAAGATAAGGACAGATTATTCTGTGGGGAATCTCCTGCTGTTTGCTCAGGGCTTGAGCGTGACTTGATGCTGTGTGCATCCAGTGCTCTGTCTTCTGAGGTGGATGTGACTTTCAGAAAGTGCTTTGAGAAGTGCTGCACAGTGTACGAATTGTGCAGTTGATAATTGTAGGTATAAGATGCATTTTATGTCTTGACTAATTGTAAATTTGGAAGAAAGTAATTGTTTCTTTTTAAGCCACACCTTTTCATTTGCAGAGAGATGGATGCCTGAATTTAAAAAAAAAATGCAAATACAAACAAACCCACCATGATTGTTAAGACTCTCTTGCTCAATTCCCAGCTGAGTGCCAGCCATCGTTTGGTGCTGCACTGCTAGCATGAGGGAAAGCTGTGGAACAAAACTCTGGGCTCTTGGCTGTGGCACCATCCTTCATGTCACCATTTCACCATTCTTCCACAGTTGTGCACTGTAATCACTGTGTAAGTTAGAGAAAAGAAAGTAAAAGACCAAGTAGAAGGATTGAAGACAAGTTTTGCCACTGCATGTTACTCGAACCTGTTGTCTATGGTAGGTGAGGAGGTCAGGGTGTGGTTTAGTCTTTAAGCACGTTTTGATAGGTGATTGTCAGAATGATGTACAAGGAGTTGTTGCAGCTGAGTCTGTTCCTCCTGCTGCTTTCTAGCCAGGGAGCATCCACAAAGCGCTGCTGAGGTGGATGTGGAGGGGACTTTGTTTAGATATACTTTGGTTTTTGTTTCTTCCTCTGCTTGTTAGAGATGACTTGCTAGAAGAAGTTGACTGAACCACTGTGATCACCTGGGTTTTATATTGGCGAGTAGTTTCTCTAGCCAAATTGTATTTATTATCCCTTTGTAAAAGATTCCTGTGGTGTTGCTCAGAAAGAATTCAGTATTCTTCTCAAGCTTACCTTGGCTGCTGCTGCTGCATCTCCTGCACCGTGAATGGCACAGCATGGAAAATGTTTCAGGTGGGAGTTGTGATGGGATGCACTGAACAGCAGGAGATAGAATCCGGATTGGTAAGAGTGAAGGTCCCTTACAAAGCATAGAACTGAAAGCTCAGAGGATGAGGCCTTGTGGCTGTTCACTGCCAGGGATTTATGCACAGGTGTGAAGGAATTATTTGGTGCTCTGGGATGAAGTCAGTCCAGTCAGTGAAATCCATGAGGAATGAAGATAATTTGGTGGTTTTCCTTTGTATGTCCAGCAAATATTTATAGTTATTGCCTTCTTTCCTGTGCATACATGTTAATCTTAGAGTGATTTGCCAATCTCAGAGTGATGTAGCTCTTTGTTACCAGCAGCTGTTGATGCTCTGTTGTCTCTTGGATGACATTTCTGGCTTTCTGACTTCATTTTTGAAGAGATGAGAACAAATTCGGTAATTCGGCAGGGGAAAAGTGAGGCAATGATGTTTGAACAAGATCAAAGCCTTTATTATGTCAAATGACAGGCCCTGCCTTGTCTGTACCTTCCAACATGTTCATCTTCCTAGGCTGTTGTTTGACTTAGCATTTGTAAAGGACAGAACATGCTGAATTCCCACTGCTGTAGGTGGAGTTGGTAGCGCTGCGGATTATTAATGTTTCCTGACACATCCTCTGCAAAGCCCTTGTTTTCAGTTGTTGGGTCCACGCCAAAATTCAGTACTTCAGTAAGCGTGGAAAAAAAGAATTCTTTCAGATAGAATGTTTTTGGAAATATTTGGCTGGTGTGGTTTGTGTGTCTGAGGATAAGGCTGTGGAAGAACTTAGCTTGCTTGTGGTTGGGAGAAAGAAATATTTCCATGTTTTGGAGGTATTTAGCATCTGACAGTGAGGCCACAAACTCTGTTTCGGGGTACCATTCCCCAGTTTACCAAATGACAGCTCTGGCAGAACTGTTTGCAGGTATTCATTAGCAGCTCTTGAGGTCTGTAACTCTGGGGTTCTCCAGGGATCCGATCAGTTCTGTAGGACTTGTTGTTGCAGCTGAGAGCGGCCGTGGAGTGTTGAGCTGCTGCAGGACCAGGCAGGTTGTTTGCCTGCTGTGCTCTGTGGCAGACTGATTGTCCCAGGATAATGCTGAGTTTGCAAGGAAGGACTGCAGTGAGAGGAACACAAAGTGCTGTTGGAAAAGAGGTGAGAAAGGACTGGAAGTGTAGATAGTGGAATGGTTGAAACTGGGCGAGGAAAGATTGGTCTGACAAGGAGCTTTGGAAGGGAAAACAGGAGACTGAGATGAGAGATGGGGACTAAAATGCTGGCTAAATGAAGCGAGAGTGTCAGAGAAGAAAAGCCAGTATGACAGTGAGGCAGCAAGCCTGGGAGGGATGGTGCATGTAAAGACTGACTCATGTCCCCATAGACCTTGAAATGAAAACCAAACTTCTTGGTCTTCCCACTTTGCTGCTGTCAGCATCTGGAGCGGCGTCCTCACGCTGACCTACAGAGAGGACATAAACTGTGGCTCCAGGACCAGAATGTTGTAGAATTTGAAGCTGTTGATGATACGTGTGAGGAGTTGCTGTGATGTGATGGAGAGGCCTGTCTCTTTTTCTTTTTCTTTTCTTTTTTTTTCCCTGTAACTGGAAGAACAACTCCACAAAGAAGGAAAGATGAAATACTGTGTTTTAAGTGTTGAAAGGCTGCTGTGTGGATTTGCAAGACAATTTAAATAGGACGGGAAACTTCAGTTTTCATGGTTTCCTGCTTTTTAACATTTGCCTTTGTAGTCTGCATATTACTCTAAGGCAGTTGCTTTTGTGTAATCTGTATAACCTGATATGAATGAAAGGTGGAATTGTGAGTTAAAAGTCTGAATTTGCTTCATGGCTGGGCTTACTGAGACGTGAAGTCTCATCACACACTGCGGATTCTCGAGGTTGCTTTCTTATGTTAGGTAAAACATTCAATGTTTAAAATTCTTTTGGCAGAATGAAATTTTGATTCTTACTGAGTTTAAATCTGTCTGAAGATACAAAGTAGACATTGCTATCTGTTATTTACTACAGATACCAGACTACAGGAATGCTGTAATTGTGGCCAAATCACCTGCGTCTGCAAAGAGGTGGGTAAGATCTGCTCTCTTGTTAGAGCAGGAAATCTCTGTTGTGATTTTGCTTTTCAGATCAGGTGAACCTAGACAAGAGCAGCAATTAGAAGATGCAGCCCACACCCCCTGCCATTTAACTGTCAGATGTGTGGTGTTTACCACTATGGTAAATCCATGCAGTGCTTAGTATTCAGAAGCTGTTTAGTCCTATTTTTCTGTGTTTACACCACGGTTTGCCTATTGTGAGTGAAGCAAAATGGCTGGAAGAAGAACACCGTTAATCCGGAGTAATTGCTTAACGATCACAGCTTAGAGCTTTGTTATCAGATCCTCACTCACCATCTGGCATGGTGGGGTTTGGGCTGAGGCTGTTTGATGTGAGAAGTTCCTGTTGCCCAAGCAGTTGGAATTAATTCCTGGAGCTTTCTGGTTGCTGTACCTGAGCTTGTTGCAGTTATGCTACTCGGGGAGGATGGCAAAGAGCTGATTTAAGAGATACTATTTTTGCTGTAGTAAAACCAGTAATTTGCTGAGAAGTTACCTAGGCTTAAGCCAAGACTTCTTTGATTGTCTTCATAAAAAAGGTTTTTGTTGTTTTACATCATAAATCAGAGATGTTTTATTTGTAGAAGTATGCTGGGGCAGTGACCTTTGGCATCTTTGTTTCCCAGCAGTAGTTTTCAGATGACTTGTTTTGATTTTGATGGTTATTTTTCACATGCTTGTCTTTATTTCATTTCTTTGGTGTCAGCATTGCCTCCTAGGTCTAGAGATGTTTGTTGAAACGTTTTCTTGCCAGGTAACTGCATGTGCCAGCAAGTAGCTTGTCACACCATTAGCAGCTCAGTCAGTCGCAGATGTGCAGAAGAGGATCCCAGAGCTGTGTGTGTTCAGTTTCCTCACATTACACAGGTGCATTTCAGAGCAGTGCTTGAGGAGACCTGTTGTACTGAGAAAAGAATGGCTGAATGGTTTATCCCAATGAAGGAACACATTCTCTGGATGAATGTGACGTTCTTCTTGTGACAGCTTCTGCTTGAAGGAGTCAGAATGTTTCTGCAGTTTCTGAGTTCAGTGGAAAATGAATAAATCATTTGAGTGTTGTTTTGAACTTCAGTGTAACGTTGTGGTTTTTAATGATTGATTCGTTCATGTGATTATGCCTTTTAAGTCATAACTCTTGAAATAAATGTTTGGAATCATAATTTATATGCATCCAACCTTTTGAAAAAGAAAACTACGAGAACCGCAGTGCAGAAAAGTCTTCGTTTTTAATTAGCAGAGCATCACAGTGAGCAAATTATTCTGTGGACTTTGAGTTGTTTGGATAGTGAAACAAGGCTTGAGTGTAAAGGAGGTAATTCAGGCCACAAGTCCCAGGTACTGAGGTTAGGACAAGGCGTTTGGCTTTGCATCTGCTGGTGTCACTTTGAGCAGAGGGGGATCAGATCAGCTCAGTGTGTCAGCGGGGCGCTGAGCTGGGAGTGCGAGGTCAGCAGGGCGAATCCTGCTTTGTTTGTCCTTGCTGCTGGCAGCTGGGATGCAGGCACTGGCTGCAAATTTCCTATTTTGCTGCCTCTCTGCTTTTCCCACTCCTTCAGCTGACTTGGTATTCTTTGCATAAATTCTGAATTCAAGAAAATACTGCATGGTGGGGGAACTTGTTGTGAGTTTGTAGATTGCTGTTTAAATTTCAAGAGCTGTTTGTTAGGCAGCATCATTGTTTGATGCCTCTTCAGTAGGATATCCAAGGCCGTGTGTCAGAAGGTCAGGGATGCTGCCTTCCTCAGTCCACGTCTTGCTAAAAAGAAGCAGGTGAACAATTGTTTGTGTTTCATTAAACGTAAGCATTCCAGATATTCTTGGTGATGGTTACATGTCAGCAGCTGAAGCACAGGATCTCAAGAATGCTGAAGGCCAGAAAGTTTCATTTGTTTTTTGGTTTTGGTTTTGTTTTTTTTTTTGACTGGGCAAAATGGAAGGGAGCAATCAGATTTGTTGCCTTTGCAGCATTTGACCTGTTGCTTGCAAAGCCTGTATGGACACTTCCAAGGCTATTCTGCCTCTCACAAGCCTAGTGAAAATAAGATGTCATGGGATAACTGATTTCTTCTATTGTCCTGCAATGTTAGGATCATTTCGCTTTTCCTCTGTACCTTTAGAAATAAAATTAAAATACTTGTAGGTTAGACGTGTCTGCATGTGAATTGTTTTAGATTTAATGTGTGCACCTTATATATACATGATTATTTTTCTTTAACCCTTCCTCTCCAGGGCCCAGTCATTTGCTGAACGTTTACGGTTGGGAATTGCAGTGATTCATGGGGAAGCTCAAGATGCTGAGTCTGACATGGTGGATGGTCGACATTCACCGCCCACAGCCAAGAACGTAGCTGCTATTCATCCCAGTTTGGAGATACCCAGTAAGTAAGTTTGTGTGTGAAAGTGTTCACCTCTTGCTTTCTGTGGTTTTGGGGCAGGGATGATAGTGCTGGACCACCAGCAATCTTTCTGAGAACATGAGGGGAAGAGAAGATTGCTACTGGGTGTCTTTGTGATCCCTGGTTCTGGTGCTGTGCTGCCTGTCACATCTGTGCCATCACATGGGGCAGGAGGGCGCAGAGGCCGCGCTCTTCTGCCTCTTGGTTGTGGTTGGATTTTGTTCTGGGACATGGAGTTGTAAGCTGAGCTGGCCTGGCTTTGTGTGTGTGTGTGTGTGTGGGTCAGTGTTGTGTGCTTGACAGAGGAGCTGTGCTGAATGGGCTGTGACCTGGAGCTGCACCAGCAAAACTTCACTGCATAAACCTAACTTGGGTCTGATGGAACTGCTTGTGTCTGCAAGCCGCTGTACCCGTGTCATTCATGCTTTTGGTTGGACTTAAAAAATATTTTTTTGCATTTCCAGAAACACTGTTGGAATACTTGTCACGTTGCTTCTCTCTAAAACAGTGGTGATTGATGCAAGGCAGATGTTTTTACACTTAATGTAAATTGTATAAACCTTCTTTTCCTTTCTGTTTTCTATTTCTCTAAAACATTGCTGTTAATCAGTGCTGATTCCCAAGGAAAAACCACCCATCACAGTTGTTGGAGATGTAGGAGGAAGAATAGCTATCATCGTGGTGAGTAAAACGCTGTGCCTTTGGATAAATCATATTCAATATGTTAAAGTTGCAGACAGCAAGTACAGTTTTTGTTGCATTAGTAACTGAACTTTGGTGGTGGGCTTCTGATAACATTTGGATGTTGTATCTGGAAAAGGTGAAAGGTCACTGTGTTGATCTGTGTGAGAACGTGCTGAGCTCCAGTGGCTCAGTGTCCCCTTTGTTTGACAGGATGACATTATAGATGATGTTGACAGCTTTCTTGCTGCAGCAGAGACCCTCAAGGAGAGGGGGGCTTACAAGATCTTCGTAATGGCCACACACGGCCTGCTGTCTTCAGATGCTCCCAGGCTGATAGAAGAATCTGCAATTGATGAAGTAAGCATGCATGCTGAATTTCTACTCAGATGATTTTTTTTTAAGTCAGCAAATTTTTCCTGACTTGATTCTTAACATATACTGGCATTAAGAATTGATCTGGGTAGAATCTTGTGTTTAGGCTTTATTACTCTTGTCTTGAATGCTAGAAAAGTGGCATCTCTATATCCTGAAACTGTAGCAGTGGGAAACTAGGAGAGTGAAGAGATGAGCTGTCGGTATTGGCACAATTACCTCCCACATGTTGGAGGGGAATTTTGTACCTTCCTTCTTGAACTTAGTGCTGGCATTAAATGAGGGGGAGCACTGCAGCTGGTCTCTGTGGCTCTGAGGAGTCCTACAGCAGTGCGTTGATATCCCTGAGATTTTGATCCTGGCAGCAGTGTGAAATCCTGTTCCTTTGTCAGCCAGGCTGGTTCAGTAGGATCTGCAGGGTGGACAGGGAGTTTCACAGTTCTGATACGGCAGGTGGAAAGGATGGAGGGGCTGTATGTGACCAGTTTGTCCTCTTCCTTTAGGTGGTTGTTACAAACACGATTCCACATGAAATCCAGAAACTGCAGTGCCCTAAAATCAAGACTGTGGATATCAGCATGATCCTCTCAGAAGCCATTCGCAGGATCCACAACGGGGAGTCGATGTCGTACCTTTTCAGAAATATTGGACTGGATGATTAAAGCTTTCTAATTTAAATAAACACCTTGGGCCAAACTGGAAGTGAGAAGATAACGAGCTGTGAAGCATCATGCTTACTTAATATTTCTATTGAGCCACGTTTTGTTTTCTCTTGGTTGAAGTATCAAGGTAGAACAGTTTTTTAAGAGCTGTTTTTTTTTTCTTTGCAGTTTTTTTGGGGGGTGAAAAGTGGTGAGAGAGGGGGGGAGGTGGGAAACGTTTTACAGAAAACTGTTCTAGTTGCTTATAGGTTAGTTGCACTATATACATGGTGGAAAAAAACCACAAAACACTTGAAGCAAGAATTTGGCTTCGAAACTAAGCATTCCTTTTCCAAAGCTGCTTGCTACAAGTGCTTTAAAAGATAATAAAATGAAGTGACTGTATAATATTTGCATTTAAAAAGCCAAAAAGGTTGTACTGTTGTATGCAGTTAAGTGATTTTGTAGGAGTGCTTTTCTATAAAGCATATGAAGATATGCACCTGTATTTATTTTCTGCGACAAAGAATAAAGATTTGTTTTGTGTGAGCTTTCTAAAAATGTTTATATAACAGTCGCTTGTCTTCCAAAATGTCCTCACTTCAGAATGATTTGAGGAAGTCAAGAGGTGAATTGATCATTTTATGCTTATATGTTGCTTTGGAATATAAGCAGAATTCAGGCTTCCAGGCAGTAAGGAAGCAGCATCTGTTTTGCTTGTCCTGTGCTGGGGCACCTGCAGGCAAGGAGAGGCTGCTTTTTCCTGAATGCTGTGGCTCTGTTACATTTCGGCCCGTCTTGCTGCTGAGCAGCCTTGTAAAATGCAAAATGCACAGCCTTCCAGCACCCGGTTTCTGGGGGCTATCACAAACGTGTTAATTAGTTTCATTGTAATTTGGCAGGTATTGTATGCTTGCAGTGTACTGCTTTGCTTCAGGCAGTGTGGTTGGAATCTGAACCTGTGGCTGGATGTCAAGGGACAGCGGGGACTTGGGAGTACTGGGGTGAGAGTGTATGGAATTGAGGGCAGTGATGGAGCAGGGGATGTGTGAAGTCCTGGCTTTTTGGCCTGAGGATTTCTGCTTGTGCTGGTACTTGTTGAGCTGAAGGGTAGAGCTGTCTGGAGGTGCTGTGCAGGGTTTGGTTAGCAGGGAGAGCTGGTGGCAGCAGCAGGGTGATGGGATCCAGAGGTCGCAGCTGGTAAAAGCTGGTCACAGGTGAACTGGCTCTGAAGAGCTTTGTGTCCTGGCCTGAATGTAGGAACATGAGCTTCCCCCAACCCGAAACAACAAACCCAAACAAACACCGGCCATAAGGCAAGGTTGGACTCGCTCAGGTCTGTTCTGCCAGCTGTCCCGGTGGACGCTCGCATGCAGGGAGCTGCTCTGAGCTGCTCAGTGACCAGAAGTTCCTGGCTGCGGTGGAATTAATGAGCGTTTTCTTACGGGTTGTTTGTCTAATTGCTCTCAATCACAATGTCCTACAAATAGGTACGAAACTCCCGGCGTCACCAAAATCGGAGGTGAAAACGAACCTTTGCTGACGTGTCTGCGAGGAAGGCAACCATCCTTGGGGTTTGGAAGGCTTCCCCCCCATTCCCTCACATCTGTCAGCACAGCCTCTGGCACGGCAGAGGCCTGGGCAGTGGCTGGGAGCCCTGGGAGCTCTTGGTGCGTTCACCAAGTGAGATGGAGACTCCTTTTGCTCTGCTGTCCCGTGAGGTTCTGTCTACCAAGGGGCAAATGGCGAGGCTGCACCTGGTTGTGCTGTAGTGACAGTAGGTTATTAAACAGTCCTGTGGTGTTAGCAGATAGCCCAAGCTGACACATTAACACGTGCACGTACTTGGGATATGGTAATGCAAGTGAAATTCCGGTCGAGCAGTGAGGGAGAACTTTGCTTCTCCTCAGGAGCGATGCGAAAAAAGCATAGAAAGAAAAACCCAAACCAATCAGACTGAAATCACAGCTCGTGTGTGTGACAGCAGAATGCCGTGCTGCCGGCTGTGCCTGCAGGGCTGTGCTCCTTGGGGTGGCTCTGCAGGCAGGGCTGGCTCCTGCGGGGGGGGGCAGGGGCTGGGGGTGCTGAGCTGCGAGGCAGGGGGTTGATTAATGATCAATTCCCTCGGGCAGCAACGCGTTACTGATTCAGTGACCGTCAGTGGGAGGCTTCCCTGGAGGGTGAAGGAGGGAGCAGAGGAACGATGGAAGGCAATTCCACGGTCGGATCCTTCACCCCTTTGCAGCAGTTCAGCTTTGCTGATCTTGTGGTTGTAGTGACTTACTTTTCCTTAAACCTTGCTGTGGGAATATGGGTAAGAGTGTTCTTGCTATTCAGCTTTTGCTTTCCTCTTCCATCATTTAAAATACACTTTTTTCCCCCATCCATTGAAGTTTACCTTTGTTGTGCATTTTGCATACTGTGCTGCATTTGCTCTGTTCTGCTGTGTACGCCCTCTGCTCCTCATCGCACATGGAAGGGCTCCTGCCTCAGAACGAGGTGGGCTGAAGCTGGCACAAACTTCTCCCCCATCCTGCTGCCTGCGAGCAGCTCTGCCCTTCTCTATTACAGGCTGTTAAGACAAATGCGCTGCTCACCACAAAAAGCTCTCAGCAACCTGCAATTTGAGTCAAAGGCTCTCCAAAGCCACGTATTCTGCCTTGCAGAAAAATCCTGTCCAGGGCCGTGCCCTACGAGCCTGCCTGTCTGCCCAGCATGGAGGCAGCATCCTCTGCCCTCCCACTGCCCGCTCTGGGGGTGCCCTTTACTGCTCGTGGCTCTGGGGACTTGGGGTGCAGCTGCTGTTTCATGTAATTATGCCGGAGTTGCAGAACTCCCATTAATTATCCAGTCTCTTGTCTCTTGGCTTCTTGTCTGGCAGGCTGGGTTCTTGGTTTCTTGTCTGGGTTTGCAGGGAAAGTGTTCCATGCTGATGCTTTCTCCTCCCAGTCTTCGTGCAGGGTGAACAGGAACACGGTCAGCGGTTATTTCCTTGCTGGCAGAGACATGGCGTGGTGGCCAGTAAGTAGAGACCTCGTGGTTCCCCGTGATGCAGCGCTGCTTGTTCCTCATCCTGCTTTGTGCGGGGCCTTCGCTGCGGTCCCACACCGCATCCTTCTCTCTGAATTGGAGAGATGCAGATTTGAAGGGCGGTGGATAAAGAGTTGCTTGGATGGGCACAGCCAGAGGGGTGGGGTCCCCTAGGGTTCCATCCTGCGACCTGGGCTCCTCAGTGTCTTTATCAATGACACAAATGCTGGGATCGAGGATGTACTCTCAGCATTTTACTGATGACTCCACACTGAGCGGTAGCCTGGGCAGCCTCATCTAGAGGCTGGCGACCCCATCTGTGGCTGAGGCTTGGAACTGGATGATCTTTAAGGTCCGTTCCATCTGAAGCCATTCTATGAAACCAAGAAAACCTACCCAAAACCCAGTAGGGATGTTGAGACGAGCTGGACACAAGGAAGCGTTGGTTGCTGGGGCCCGACGTGCACCTCCAAAGGACTCTGGCAGGAGTTGTCCTGGCACAACATGCCCGAGTCCACACGTCCCAGCAGCTCCTGCTCTCTCTGCAGATCGGAGCCTCTCTGTTTGCCAGCAGTGAGGGCTCAGGGCTCTTCATTGGACTGGCTGGGACTGGTGCTGCTGGGGGAATCGCTGTCACCGGCTTCGAGTGGAACGTAAGAAATGTCTTGTGTTAGCAAGGAGATGAGTTTTGTGAGCCACGTGGCTGCAGATAGCAGAGGAGTTGTGCAGAGGATAACCAATGCAACCCCACAAATTCAGCTTCCCTACATCATGCCCAGTGCGTGTATTGTTATGCTGGAGTCAGCTCAAGCCCCTGTCAGCAGGGAGTTGGATGCTTTGGAGCAGAGCTTCCTACTCCAGCCCTGCATCACCCCAGTTGGGAGGTGGCTTTTTGGGTCACCAGTTTGCTGCTTTCCCATGGGTGACTTCCAAAATCCTGGGGTTCTATAGTAAAACCATGGCACATGAGGAGGTGATGTTGGGATGCTTCTGAAGATGAAGGGCTGAGAGGGGCAGGGTCCTGTTGGCAGGGTGCTGGGTGGTCTCTGCTGTGATCTTACGCACTTGCACCTCCTGTTTGGGGCCACTTAGAGAAACAAATGTATGTGAAGGGGGGAGCTGGGATTGGGGCAGGTGCAGTGAAGGGGACAGCGCTGTGTGTTTCCTTCCTAACAGGCCACATATGCGCTGCTGGTGCTGGCCTGGGTCTTCGTCCCAGTCTACATCTCATCTGGGGTACGTGGATCTACCCTAATCTCAGGAACATCCCCTGAACCCTGCACTGAGAATGCTGCCACCTCACAGAGAAGGTGACATGGGGACAGGATGGGGACAGCCACGGCTCCCATCCCCTCCCACAGATCGTCACCATGCCTGAGTACCTCCAGCGAAGGTTTGGAGGCGAGAGGATCCGGATGTACCTCTCTGGGCTGTCTCTCCTGCTGTCCATCTTCACCAAAATCTCTGTAAGTACCTCTGCTCAGCTCTGGGGCAGCTCTGTGGCGTGCCTCGTAGCAGAGAGGCTGTGGGTGAGAGGTGCTCAGGCTGCGCTGTACCCTGCGGTTTTATCCACGCTCCCGCAGCTCTGAGGAGTCCTACGGGGGATTACTGCACAATTTAGCAAGTGCTTCTGCCTGGAGGCAGCGGGTGGCTGCAGCAGCAGCTGCGTCCCCACGCAGCGGCGCTCCCTGCCCGCAGCTCCGGGATGCACAGCGCAGCCCAAGCCGGGCAGCACCGCCGCTGCTCCGCATCGTAGCCTGCACGCAGCCTCGGAGCAGTGGAGGGGGTCGGGATTTCCCCGCGTCTCTGCTGCTCTCAGCCATGCAGAAATATCCTCTCCTGCCCATCCCCAGCCCTCGGTCCCTTTGTGTCCGGATGGAAATGCTGGGACTCGCCCAGCTCTGCCTGCCGCTCCCACTGGGACAGGTGACAGCATCTGTCCGGTTCACAAGTTGGGGCAATGATACCCATTATTCCCTGGTTGTCCTAATGCCTGGGAACTTGTCAACGCTCACTCCTCTTCCCTGTTCCCATGGTGCCCAGGGAGGGAGATGGTGCAGTATTTATCTTGGTGATCTGAATGTATAGAATGCTTGTATCGGGGTCTCTCCAGCTGAGCACACAACACCTCCCCTTTCACCAAAGCAGTTGCTCTGCCATGGAGATGCTCAGCCCACACACCTCCAGCCCCCCCAGTGATTTTGTCTGGAGGGGATGGATATCCCACACCCACTCTCATAGCTCTGCCTGTGGTGTTGCTCAGCCCGTGCCATGTTTTCTTTGTGCTGCTGAGCTTCCTGCGACCACTAAGCCATGCAGGACCCCATAGAAGAGGGATCAACCTGGCCAGGGTCACCTGGCATCTGGCACCACCCATGGTGAACCTATGCAGTGGTTGGGGTGAGCGCTGGCAGATATGCCAGGTGGTGTTATGTGTGTCCTCTCCCTCGTGCTGTGCTCAGGGCAATGGCACTGTCACCACTGCTCCAATGACTCTGCTGTGGGCAGGGGGCACCACTCTCCCTCCTCCC